GTTCGAGCCCCGTTACCGCGGACCCTTCGAAGTCATCGAACGCATAGGAACCGTCGCTTACCGTCTCGCTCTGCCTCCCACTTATGAATGCCATGACGTTTTCCACGTTTCGCAGCTAGTTCCCCACCGCCCCCGCCCTCCCGCTTTGGTTCCCTCGGCAGCCGACGCTGCCTGGCCTCCTATCCACAATGCAGCAGGAATTCCCACAGCGGAATACGAAGTCGACTATATTATGGATCAACGCGGCTCTGGAGATGCAGCACAGTACCTCGTGAAGTGGCGCGGAGCCCCTGAAGATCACGCCACATGGGAGCCCGCACATCACCTTACTGGCTGCCCGGCTTTGCTTCGCGCTTGGCGCCGCTGCCAACGAAGACGTCTTCAGGCTCGAAACAACTTGGGTCCTCCCGAAGCGTAGACGTACGGGTCCGCCACGTTCCAGCTCCTACAGCACGAGCACCCCTTCAATGCGGAGGGGGGAGGGAGCGCTCCGCACCGCGTGCGCTCACCACGTCAGCTTCGGAAAAGCACGGAGGTTGCAAAGGCAAAAATAATGCGTTTGGGACAGGTCTCTTCAGTCCGGCAAGGGGGAAGTTGTAGTGCCTCAGCACTGGGGCTGGCTAGTGTCCTAGAGATGATAGCTAGCTAACGACCTGCAAGGGGCCGCGACACTGGAGGGGGACAGGACCCTCCCAATACATGAAAAAATAAGAAAAACCGTTAGTCAGGTCTAGTGAAAATGTGAACTGTGCGGAAATCGTGTGGAGACTGGGGCTGGCGATAGCGCCGGCACCACTGCGGACCTCCCTCCCCTAGGGTTTAGAGGGTAAGCTCCGAGAAGGGAGCGAATCGAAGAGAGAGATTGGGGACACTTTTTGAATTGTCGTATTTCGACGGAATAAAGCTATAGAGACCGAGAAATGGGGCAAATCTAGGTGTAGTATGTAGACCTGTAGAGGGACAGGAAACAGCGTAGTCGCAGCAGTAGGCGCCGCGCACTACAGCTATCCTCTATAGGTCACCAGCAAGCCCCATTGAAGTGCCTGCGCACTACAAACACCCTCCGAGATTGCTCCAGCGCCGGCTGCTACGGTCGCTGCCTCCACTACATCAAAGAAAGCAGGCGCCTCTAACAGCGAGGAATGAACATCGGCATACCCGATGCGCCCAGACGCGCCCCCCAAAGCTTAGCAGAAGAAGCAACAGCAGCAGCAGCAGCAGCAGCGAGGCAGTACAAGGGGAGCAGTGGGGGGTCTGCTGCGCCACTCTTCCGTGACCTTTACAATGCCACTGTGGGGCAGGCCAATGAACCTATTCGGTTAGAGTTCCGCAACTGCCACCTCATCATTTTTTGAGCCCCCTTTCTTGCGCATTTGCATCCATGGCGTTTGGTGCATCCGTGTTCCTCAGTTCCGTGAGTTCCTCACACATGTTCTTTATACGCATCATGCTCATGTGACTGCCGGACATCCAGGCCAAAAGAAGATCTTTTGTAGTGCGCGGACGCTACCGTAGAGCTTGCTGGTGACGTTAAGAGGGCAGCTACGCATGACATATAAGAGGTTAAGACGCTGAACGAGCGCGGAAACTTTTTACTAGTAACAAAGTAAGGCAATTTATCAGCAAAACAGAATAAGTATACTAGACGTGTCTTTGAATACCCGAAGATTGGGGCTGGTGATAGAGCCTGGACCGGTGCGGGCCATCACCCCACCGGGCAAAGAAAGCAGCAACCCTGAGTCGGGGACTTGTGGGGAAAATCGGATTGAGAACTCGAAAGGTGACTACTTGCACTGACAAGTTGGTATTTGTTCGATGAAATATGCGTTGAATGCAGAGGGTTCGTGTAAGGGCGCCCTATTTGTCGGCCAGGTAGAAACGTAGTAGCAGCAAAGAACGCTGCGTGCTACATTTGGTGGCTGCCCCAGGATTGAAACTCTTTTTCCGGACCTGAGGATAGAAACACTTTTCCTTAATGGTTCACACCTAGACATCTTAGCTCAGTAAGAAATGCATCTACGCAACAGACGCATTATCGGTCCCATGCAACAGGGGACTTCTTGTAGTGCGCAGGCCCTACAATAGGGCTTGCTGGTGATCTATAGAGGAAAGCTAACTGATGACCTATAAGCGGTTGAGAGGTTGAGACGCGGATTGAGCGCTGTAACCTCTTACTAGGGAAATAGAAATGTAATTTACTAACAAATAAACATGTATAAGAAATGCCTGCGAGTGCCCTAAGATTGGGGCTGCCGACAACGCCAGCACAGGTGCGCGTCACATCCTGTAGTGCGCAGCGCCTACTGCTGCGACTACGCTGCTACCTGCCCCTCGAGCAGGCCTACAAACTACGCCAAGTGTAGGCCCATTTCTCGGACAGTGAAGCTTAATTTCATCGAAATACAACAATTTTAAGTGCTTTAAAATCTGTCTGTCCGATTCGTCCCACTCTGGGAGCTCCTCCTACGCCCTATGGGGAGGAAGCCCGCACTGGTGCCGGCGCTATCGCCAGCCCCAGTCTCCAGACAATTTCCACACATTTCACGTATTCATTAGAACTAATAGACAGTTTTTCTTACTTTCATCCTATTAGGAGGGTCCTGTCCTCCTCCAGTGTTGCGACCCCTTGTATGTCGCTAGCTAGCTATCGTCTCTAGAACACTAGCCAGCCCCATTGTAGTGCCTGTGCACTACAACTTCCCCCTTTGCCGGACTGAAGAGACCTGCCCCAAAACACACTATTTTACCCTTTTCAATCTCTGTGCTCTTCTAAAGCTGACGTGGTGAGCGCACGCGGTGCGCAGCGCTCCCTCCCCCCTCCACATTGAAGGGTGCCCTTGCTGTAGGAGGTGGAATGTGGCGGACCCATACGTCTACGCCTCGGGAGGACCAATGTTGTTTCGAACCTGAAGACGTCTTCGTTTGCGGCGGCGCCTAGCGCGAAGCAAAGCCGGGCAGCCTGTAAGGTGATGAGCTGGCTCCCATGTGGATTGTTCTCCAGGGGTCCCGCGCCACTTCACGAGGTACTGGGCTGCATCTCCCGAGCCGCATTGATCCATAATATAGTCGACTTCGTATTCCTCTGTGAGATTGCCTGCTGCATCATGGATAGGAGGCCAGGCAGCGTCGGCTGCCGAGGGAACCAAAGCGGGAGGGCGGGGACGGTGGGGAACTAGCTGCGAAACGTGGAAAACGTCATGGCATTCATAAGTGGGAGGCAGAGCGAGACAGTAAGCGACGGTTCCTATGCGTTCGATGACTTCGAAGGGTCCGCGGTAACGGGGCTCGAACTTAGGGCAGCTGTTGAAAGGCGGTAGGTGCTTGCTGCTGAGCCAGACCTTGTCTCCCACCGCATACTCCACTGCTCGGCGCTTCGTGTCTGCGTAATACTTCTGCTGCCATTTTGCTTTCAGGATGTGACTCTGTGCTCTGTCGCAGAGCTGTCGGAAGAGCTTAGTCATCGGGGGAGTGAGTGTAGGAGCTAGCGCGCCTACGATATCAAGGTCCGCAGCCGTCAACGGGTTCTCGCCAATCATGACCTCGAAAGGAGAGAGCTCAGTGGATGAATGACTTGTTGTGTTGTAGGCAAGTTCCAAGGCCGGAAGCAAACGCTCCCACTCGC